TAGTTCCTTAGGTGAAGTATAATAAAATTTTATGCTGTGGTAGTTAACTCCATTTCTCGTTTTAGCAAGTCTGTTCTCTATGTCGGGTATTATATGAATGAGTTTCGTGGTGACTTGTATAAGAATAAGGATGTGACTTGACAAGAGGCAGCCTAATATATACTCAGAAGAGATTATTTCAGAAACTTGTATTTTTTGACAACATAATGACTATATTTAAAGCATGCTGTGGCAACAATGTCAATGTTTCATCTCTGTTTTTGTTTACCTTTGCTAAAATATTATCTCTGAGTTTTTGTGAAGAAAGCAGTTTCTGAGGGATGGGTACTACAAATATTTTTAGCTATTGCCCTTTCATTTACTAGTGCTATGCATAACAAAAGTGCCTCGAGTTCGAAGACCTCCAAATTATCACCATGTTAGCGACCTTCACAGGGCTAGATAAAAGAAGGTAGAGGAACACGAAACGTCAAGATAGGCGTCTCAGGCCAACTAGCCCTACAAGACCGTTTTGCTCCTACGAGTCAATTTGCTGACCAATGGTTTGGAGAAAAAGGTAGACCTGTTACTATGGGTACACTCTATCGTCACATTCGAGCCGGCTTCCTTTATACCGTCCACGGTTAGTGCTTTCTCTGACTGTGGACCATTATCGACAACGTTTGAACTGGAGCAGGGAACGGCAATATTGTGTGGCAGAATGACATAATGTCATCTTCAGCGACACATCGCGATTCTGTCTAGGTTAGCACGATCATCGTAAAAGGTAAGATGCGTGTTATTGGATTTGCTGTTAAGAGGCATGTACACAGGGATGTTGGAGTAATGGTTTGGAGGCTTACTGCCTGTGGTAGCCGATCACCCCTTCTCTTTGTTCAAGGCAATATGGCTGCTGCGCGTTATGTTGATAATGTCCTACAAACCACCTTACTGCCCTAACTAGAGTCCCGTTTACAGGTTCTTTTTCAGCAAGACAACGCATGCCCCATACAGCTCGTCGTACTGCGGACTTTGTTGAAGAAACAGGCGTTAATGTTTTGCCGTGAGCACCTTGTTCAACGGATTTAAATCCCATTGAACATGTGTGGGATATGATGGGGAGGAGACTATCCACTTCGCACTATCCGCCACAGACTCTGCCACAGCTAATCCACGAAGTTCGGGTTGCTTGGAATGAGGTGTCACAACCAGACATCGATCATCTCAGTTTTTCAAGCCATAGACGTATACAAGAGTATATCAGCACGATCTATATAGCCAAACCGAGTTGAAATGAAAGAAATCTCAGGGAAGGAGAAGATGTGGGCAAATCGATAGGTACAATCTATATCATCGACTCTCCGTCTACGCGAAATCAACTGGAGACATAGACATGAGAGGGTCACGCCCGACAGAGACCGTATTTCTCTATTGCTTTCGTATTCTGTTGTATTAAATTTACCCCGCAGTTCAACTTCAAAGCTCACCGAGTAGGCGTACAGTCAAGAACTGTCCTTTGGTGCGTCATTTGGAATGGGTTCTATAATGTAGTAGCACTGTCTATATCTGGCGCGATGCTCCTACCAGCTACTACGAAGGATTGCCTAATTTTCTCCCCGTTTCATCATGGTGGCTGGCATACTGGACAGCAACCAAACACGCAAGCAGTATTTCAGGCCAGGTCACATGTGAGCTTTGTACAAACATCAGTCCTTGGAGCTGATGTCGGACATCTCTACCGTTGTCAACACTGCTTCGATAACTGCCCAACCTATTAACCCCTGAAATATTTGCATAGTTCACACTTCAGACTAGTCATATGCTGTCTAGTGCACTTAGGTGAACCAGTTCAATGAGCTCTGATTACCACAACGAACTAATTCTAGGAGCTAGTTCTCGAACGAACTATTTTATGCAAGAACGTCGCCATTCATCCGATCGCCGGATATAAGCAGCGTCAGCGGCTGGTACTAGGGCGGGTGGCCGCTTCGAAACACGTCTTGCTTATTGCTGTATTTTTATTTCTCATTTTTCGATTAAGATGAATATATCATATCTTATTACTTCATGTTAACTGTTGGTCAAATAATTGATGTATTTTGAACGATCTGTGATTTACTTTTGACTTTTGTTGCCACCAGTTTATAAAGTTTTCTGATAGATAACATCCAAATACTATTACGTAAAAAACCATATTATGCCAAAGAAAATGGACAAAGTAGGTTCTAGTGTTCAAGTAGTTCATTCCGCGTTTGCTTGCTATGAGCGCTCTGAGCGTCACCAAAAGCGCCATCTATGATCGAATGACGCTCAATGACCATGCTGCTAGTCAGTTCACTAACATCCTTTGTTGTTGCAGAATGCCGTGCCAGTCTGTGGAGTATATCTCTGAGAGGATATGACAAAAATAAGATTGATTGTGTAGCAAGATCGCATGTGGATGATTGTGTGTATTGGTCTGTATGTGCATAAAATCAGTGATATTTGCTATGTAAGAAAATTACTACTGCATAAGCATATGCAGGGTAGCAGTCCGTGAAGTATATTTATTAGCTGTACCAGACGGGTGATTTGTGCTGCCTTTCTGAAAAGAGGTTATGTTCAAAGTTTTTCGCAGTGCCTAACATCTTTTTTCTACTTGACATCGCAAACTAAATACCAATGAAATTTAAATGACTGAAAATAAAAAATATAGTAAAATGAAATAACCTTTCCACGTTTCATAAATGTTTCTGCCTGTGACGTCACCAGTCAGTTGTAATATACTTCACCAGCCAGGGATTTTCTTTTTTATCTCTGTCATTTTTGAGATTCAGGAAATTTCCAGGATGAAACATGCACCTCAGGTAAATATGAGACAAGAAACTAAGGAAATTATGCTCAACACAGATTATTGTTAGCACAGAAATCGTCACTGTGTACCTTATACACTGTCGTTTGCTTCCAGCTATATTAGATATACAGTTTGCATCACATCAGAGCCAAACATTGATAGCTGAAGCGTTATGAGACATGCATACTAGGCAACACATGCAGCTACAGGATAGGTGCACATTAAGTGAACAACAGCTGGTTGTTAGAAGTAGTAAGTTGACGTCTTATAGAAAAACCTAAACAATGTCCCAAAAGCCTACATAATGTCAAAAATATCGACATAATCTCACTTTTTAAGATACCTGTACATACATAGTACCCATGCTGGTCCCTATCTCGTTCGCATTAGTTCATTTAGTTAAGCCATAATAATCACTGGTTGGGAATAGCTCGCTTGCAAATTACACATCGCTACCTGGGACATAGAAGCAAATTCCTTTTCGCTGTTATGATCCTCCCTTTCAGATGAATAAAATACGCAATTCAAAATAATGAGTGAAATGTGTGATCCCTTACGCCATGTGAAGGGGCACAGAAAAAGGAAAATCCCTGAGATGATAACCACGAACGGATTTCTCCCCTAAACACCTAAATCAACAAGTATATGTGTACAGAAACTTTTCTGCATATCTTTCGACTGAGCTGCCAAAAGGGATGCGCAAATATTTTACGTAGGCCGGAAGTTTGTCGGATTCAGTTGCGGAATGATTGAATTCTCGATGGTATTTTCGCGGCGCTTCCGGGTGGAAAGAGGCAATTTTGTTGGAAAGTGAGAGACTATTTCTTTATTAAAACTTATGTATTAGGCATAGGCATGTGTTAAACTTACACCTAAGTGTCTAAAGATGGGTACAATATGAGCAATATCGCAACCCCGAAGAGAAAGAACGAGAATATGTCGACTCGGACACTCTCTGAGTGATTCTAATGCCGATACCAAATAAATTTCCATAATCGTGCTTTTGTCTTTAACTTCAGTGTGTATGTTTGATGGCAATTACGTCAACCTTTCGGCTAGGAAAGAGCCGTGTTGTGTTAAGCTGATACGTTGACCACCTATCCTAGGATGTATTTGACTGGCACAATATCCATTAGGATATTTCATGACTCCAAAACAGCTAATCTTTTAGTGATATTTAGTAACGTGTACATCGTCAAGTGCTTCAGATATAAGTAATACGATTACTGTCATTATTCGCAAAGCATGTTAGTAGGTTCGACATGCCGGTTTTGGAGCCTTCAAAGGTCAACCTAAAAGCATTCCTAGAGAAACATTTTATATTCGCGCACTTTTCTTCTCACTACCACTTGGTTTCCGGTCGTCCCGGCAATAAGATCTATAAGTCGCGCGAGACAGAATTGAGGTTAGGTTAGCCACTAAGGCCCGGTTTTTCAATCGCAAGTTAACTTTTTGGTTAGTTAACTGTCGCCAGGAAGTTAACTTGTAGTTACTTGCAAATGCGTTTTTCAAGTATTTTGACAGCGTCAGTTAACTTACCAGAAGTTCAACATATATTTATGCATCTGTGTCCCGTGTCATATGTTATACATGACAGTTCGATTGAATGAAATTTCTTAAAACAGCCAAAATAGAAATCCGGAAATTTCATTAAAAACGAATAAAACGTAAAACCTTCGTGGAGCAAGGTAAGTTTTATCCAACATTGGTCGTACAAATGTTTAGAAGTAGACCCTATAGACGGCGTTATAGAAATGGTGATAAAAAAGGTTGCAAATGAACACTAAGGTCAAAAAACAATGAAGTTGTGAATATCTGCTAAATATCGTATTTTCCACCTTTTTAACATCACTCCTACAATCTACAATCCAACAATAAAGGGGACACACAATACCTCTATTCTTGTTGCGACAATTTCTAAAGCTCTACGAGGTACATGTTTCAATTTAAAGAAAAAAACAAAAAGCAAATTTGCTACAAACAAAGGCAATATAATCAAAACAGGGGGAGGTTTATGCCAATTACAAGCATTTGATTTGATTGATACACAGTTACAAGAAATAATGAGGGACAGGTTTGACAAACAATTATGATGATGACTGTAGTGACCAAGAAGAGCTGGTTATTGGACATGGCAAGTCCCATTGCTGTTGATTGTGAAGCATTTTTTTAATTATTCATTTTTTAGTTCCTGATGCAAAGAACTGATGACAGTGAAGTGGTCTTCAATAATGGGAAATGGAGCTCCTATACTCAACAACTGAAGAGGCCCAAAACTAGAAAGCTATCATGTACGAAAACGGTACAAAATAAAAAATATATTTCTGTTAACTATGGAAGAAAAGCTGAATTTTGTGAAACTACAAAAAGAAAAATTCATTGAAGAACACAAATGGAAATATATCAAAAAAAGGTTCAGCTGTTAGATTTACAGATCAATGCATTATATAAGTAGAAAACAAATGATTTATTTTGTTAATTTCTGGAATATTTTCACTTCCACTCATTTTTTTTGTATTTCGCATTTTTGAGGACAATATGTTATTTTAATAATGAACTGTTTTCAGAAAATCATGTTTATTTTGATTCTGTAGTTACAAGAAATAGGGGATAATTCATATGTCAAGTAGATGAGAGCTATGGCGACAGCTTTAGATGTCAAAAAAGATCGAATGAGTGTCCATTTTGAGGCTTGGGACATCTTTTTTCAAATGCCGTGTGCACCTTTTTTGGGCACCAAAAATTTTTCCACTTGCCATGGATTATCACAGATCTTATACTAAACAACTTTCATCTAGTATCGAGTCATTCACTGAGCATCAGTGAAAGTATTGAATCGACCTACAAATTTGCAAAATAATTATTAGTAATATGCAGTTGATTTGGAAACCCCAGCAAAGTCACCAGCAGCAGCTCAAAAAATTTCCATTGGCGTAATGCAGCTGCTGTTGGGCGTTAAGCAGTTATTCCTGGAATAACAAAGTCATATAGAAATATGGAAATAAACAATAATATATACTTCTACCTGCTTGTAGGATATACTAAATCTTCATAGACTTCGTCCAGGAGAGTTTCAACAGTATTTTTAGAAAGGCGAAATCTTGCAAGGAAATCAAGGTCATCAAAGTAATTCGGCCGATGGCGGATTATTTTTGGCCTTCCTGCGTCTTTATCACTGCTATACGCATTCATGTCGTAATCCATAAACGTGTTTATAGCTTAAATTAATCGATAGACTGATATGGATTTGTTGTGAGTTTTTGAACAAACGTCTAAATTTATGTCAGAGAAACGTCAGGCATTGCTATTCAACTACAGCCTGTCCAGTTAACTCATAGATGGTCTTCTGGTTAAAGTTAACTACCGTTTTACCATAAACATGATATTGAAAAACGATTTTTCATAAATAACTATAAGTTAAGACTAAGGTCGTAGTTAACCTGCGACTGAAAACCGGGCCTAAGCAGTGTGATAGGTGTGTGAAAGAAGCAAGGTCCTAGTGCTCTGCCCCCGTTACCGGCTAGCATTTGGTGCAGTGATATAGCGAGAAATTGGCCATTTCGGCCTAAAGACATTAGTGCCCTTTTGGCAGGGTGGTGCAATCGGTGGTGGAGTGTGGGGGAGGTGAAAATATATACTCACCCTCCAAGCTTCAGGCGAATCGATCTACAAATAAGGCCGTTGTAACAAGAATTAGATATAAGAGATATCAGAAGCACAGAAGAGAAAGGGGATCAAATCATAATTTTCAATTCAAAATAACGGAATAAGGCCCAATTTCACCTACATTATGGGCCAATCGGAAAATACCTTAGCGAAATGCAATTTGACGGAAGCTGTCAAAGGTCTCTAAATATCAGTTATTTCTATTGAGATATCGAATAAGATCGTGAAAAAGTGATTAAATTATAAACAAGACCACTTTTTCATTCCAACATGATGCTTTTGTACAGAGAAAACAGGCCAACTTTCATGTATTTTGCTAGTTCTTATCAATTTACAAATAATAGGTCGATTATCTCTTCAGCTAATGGGAATGCGGCAAATAGTAGGTCGATTTTCCAGCTGTTAGCAGAAGGTTTCGAAGTTTGAAAATGCATGGCAATCTCGAATTTGTCAAGTTCCATATACTGAGTGTTTATAATAGGTTATCATTATAGCTACATACCTGTTGGATAGTGTGGATTTGTTTGTATTTTGCAAGAAAATAAAATATAAAATACTTACATTCCAACCAATTCCTCATCTTCCTTTACATCATAATAGTAATCATTTATTAATTTACGGGTTAATGAATATCTTCAAAGCAACAAAAACAATGTCCTCTCCATCCTAAAACACATATGATATGTGTAAGATGTGTCAATACCTACATGTCCGTGATGCATAATGCAGTTACTATCGACATAGACAAAAAATCATGAATAATTTCTCACAAATAATGTCTCCTAACCCAAATGTTTCTTGTTTGATTGCCTTTTTGTCTGGCGGGGATATCTCTTTGTCACTCGGAGGGTTGCCATCTCTAACGACGATCGCGTCACGTGGTGGAGGGTGTGAAATGAATCTATTACATTTGCTGGATTCGAGTTTAAAGTGGGAACACAAACATAGTACTTAAGATAGTTCGAGCTAGACTGATATCACTTCTTGAAGAATATTTGAAAAGTGTGAACCCAATCATGGTCTGTTGTCAAATTGCAAATGAAGTATCTGAAAATTCTCAAATACAGTGGACCTTCGTCATAGTTTACTATCCTGATTATGATCATCTTTGGCAGGTGTGTTGTATCATCAAATTGATGATCAAATGTATACCTACATACAGCGGATTTTTCATGAAAATTTACTAGGTATCATGACTATAAGCACCTTTGGTAGATTGTTCGATCCCGAATGGGAAAGATCGCCTATTTATGAAAATATGTTTGGTATCATCTAACCGTTGCAGTCGGTGCATAAAAACTGTAACATATGATTTATAGCATAACCCGCTGCCCTATCAACACAAATTTAACATACAGGTCGCCTAGCCGTGGGGATGCAGTGGTCGGGATGAATATCACGTCAGCAACTGAAGATTTGGGCATATCTGGTAACAACGTATGAAGTGAAACTCGCTAACTTTACAAATTTGAAGATTTTTGTACAATTTCTTTCAAAATGATGAAAGATATGTGTGATTTGGCAAGGTAATGTCGCAGCCAAATGCCAGTTGGTCTTTCTGTACGCTGTCCAAGCAGATTGAAAAGAAATGGCACACAGTAGCCTTTCACACTTACGTGTCAGGATGGAACGATTGTAACTGACTTGAAGGCCAAGGCTGAAGCGCTTGCGAAGATCTTTGCTGCCAACTCCACCATGGACGTCCCCCAACAAAGCTTATGGTCTGGACTTGATTGTACTGAATATGTGTGCAGCGGTTCTTTCGCGTCTCTTCCAGATATCTTGTGAATCCAGAAAACTGTAAGTTTGCTCATATCCAACCCATCCCAAAAAAGCATCTGCAACCGACCCTTACACCTACAGGCCTATAGCTCTGCTTTCTGTTATAAGTAAGGTGATGAGAGGTGCACAAATCGTGAGTTTCTACTACGTCGAACGTCTCGACTTGATTAGCGACAGGCAGTATGGTTTCCGACACCAGTGATCCACAGGGGACCTCCTAGCTTACGTCACGCAATTGTGGAGTAAGCTAATCCAGTATTACGATGATGCTTATGCCGTTGGCCTTGATATCACGAAAGCGTTCAATCAGCACGCTTCCCTATTATCCAAACTTCCATCCCATGAAATGAGATGAGATTATAACTGAGGAAGTGGTCAAAATAGAAATTACTGAAATCAGCCTTGTGTGGTCTAAACTGTCAAATATTACCAAGATATTCAATCGCGTTTTCTTTTAGTGAAGCCAGTGTTAGACTGGTGCACATCTCAAATTCTTATATCAGAACCAATTTATATATTCCTGATTTTTTGGGTGCATTTCGAACTAGTTTTTCACTCAGTGTAGAAACATACAGAACTTGAAGCAACTTGGGCTAGTGTTGTCTACTGCCTTTTGCTTCGATTTCCATCTTTGAATGCAGCCGTGCTATTTGCTCGTGGTTTACTATTATTTTTTTTTTCGATGATTCATCATAGTAATGCGGAAAAGGACAAAGAAACGAAAAATATGCTTCATTGACAGATTACTGCACGCGCCACGACATGAGACTTGTTTAATGTTGTGTTGGGAGCAACTTTAGCATCAAAGGTATTAACTAAGGTAGAGTATTTTAAACACCAAAACTGCGCTAGTTTTATCAGAAGAAAACACTATATCTCTGAGCCACAGAACCAAATCGAATCTCAGGCTTTGAATTATCCCATCATTAGTGTGATGAAATGATAATTTTACCCTCCTTGGATTACTTTAAATAGTGATGTGCTTTCTAGTTCGTTTCATTAAGTTGCGTTCAGTTCTAGGAACTGGTACGTGAACAACCTACTTTATGCAACAATACCACAGATAATATATGTTCAAGCAGATAATCCAGTTTGTCAGTCGAGATAACGTAAACACGATTCAATACATATCTTTTAACCGTTCCAATGCATTCCACTAATTGCAAATGTTTTCTCCCGTCACTAACATTGTGAGACACTAATTTCAAATGTCAGTTCTTCTTTGGGGTATTCTTTTTCTCCAACGTATAAAAAGTGCTCCCTCCAAGAACTTTCTTGTGCAGAATTACATATTACGCTGTCGTGTACACACACATACGCACACACACACACACACACACACACACACACACACACACAGTTAAATCTGCACTAACCCCCAAATACGTTGTTATGTTGAGTGTACCATGTACCATCACCGATGGTGCGACTGATATACTGAAATCAAAACAAAAACTGCAACTGCAATGTATGAATAAAATCTTGAACAGTTGCGGATCAGTGGTGTCAAAATGTCGTTGAGGAATTGGAAAGAAGTGTATGAATGTGTTGAAACGCAACACCTAACAAAAATTTGAGTGAAAAGGCTTTTTCATGTAAGAATTTGGAAGTGCAAGTTCGCAAATGTAGGATAAACTATTAACAACACCCAGTAGGTGATGCTTAGTTAATATAATCACATATGGATTACAAAAGTTGCAATAAACATGGAGAAACCTTCAGCTAAACTGAAAAAGATGGACTTTACTCAGACTACATGCATTTTTTTTTTAAATTTTGGCTCAGTATTATGTAATTTCATAATATTTAATAAACTGAAATCATTTCAATGGCAAGCTGTCACTTCATATTTTACAGTGTTTTGTTTTGAATACTTTGATGCTACTTGCTGCCAAAAATTTGACGGAGAGATCTTGAGGCTGATTGAGTATATTTGACGGACTGTTTAGTACTTGTACCTTATTGGTGCAGAATAATGGTTTGACAAATTGTGAAATCGGCCTTAAATTTAGCAATTCGGAAGGAATTTGGCAGAGATGGAGATGGAGGCGCTGCTGAAAGGGGAGATACCGCGACGGCAGTCGCTACAGAGGACCCCACCCCATGGGCAGGAGGAGC